GTAATCATAGGCAAATAACTTTAGAGTTCTTGTGATTGCTTTTTACCAACCGCACCATACGATACTGGAAGAGATAAAAAAGCAATTTGATAATGATTTCTTTGGGTTTGGTGTTTATACATGATTATAGGATGAATACCTAATGCATGATCAATTTTGAAGCATTTCAGATAATGCCAAAAAATTATTCATTTCCAACGGGAACTCTTTCCTTTAATAAATAGCTAATCATTAATATTTATCATCGATGTAAAATAGAGTACCTATTACACTAGGTATTATTTAATTAAATGTTATAATATTTCAAGCCCCGGGTGCCAAATAATGTTAACGCACCGCTTTATCGAAGAAAGAATACGCGAAGGAATCCTACAGGAAGGCTAACAACCTGTTAAGTATTCGCAAAAGATAACGAAATCTATTTTTAGAACAAGTACATTTGACAACACCGCATGATCTCTCCTTATCACACCAATGTCATTTTATACACTATATGATCTCTACTTAAGTGTATTTATTTTTGGATCTCATCCTAACTGCTTTTTATATGGATAATTTTAATTGTAGAATTCCTTTCCCCTCTACAGGGGTAATGATAGAAGAACATATTTCATGTCGTTGGCAACCCATTATACACGCATATTTTTAACTTTAAAGGGGGATCTCAGGTTATCCTACTATTATCCGGATCTCGACTTATATCAATATATATAAAAAAGAAACAAAACTAAATGATACTCTAATTATTTTTAATCTTTTTAATCTGTCTGCGCCCTGATAGGAATAGATATATAAGCTCGCTGCGGGCCAAAGGCGACGCAGTTTACCCGAGAAGGTTACCTGGAACTCATAATGGCTTCAAAAGTTCTGATAGCGTTGCTCGTCGTCGTTACTGTTGCAGCTTCAGGTGGGTCATTACACTGTAATTGTCCGCTTTTGTGAAAATAATGATTTATTATCAGCTCAAGCGCTGGAATGCATGCTATGCTATCCTTCGGATGCCGGATGCACATCGGGTCAGGTGACAACATACGAGACTTGCCGTGACTTATCCGTGATTGGTTTTAAGTCGTTGTGTTATGGCGCACGAATTGGTAAGCCGATATACTATATTGCTATTCTGTAGTTTTTAACAAAACTTACCGATACAGAAGGAACCAAAGACAGCAGAGGCTGCTCACATGTACGCCCGTCGGAGAGTTTCTGCAGAATAATAATAAGTAGGGAGGTCGCAGTTAGAGAATGTAGGACTTGCGAGACCGACAGATGCAACTATCCACCAATAACCGGTAATATGTCTAGCTGGACGTGGCCTTAGATCAGTCATATTAACATATGATTTAAGGAGGTTGTCACCTAATCGCCAAGATTAGTGAATTATTTCTATTTTTACATACCTACTGTTTAATTTTATTTCTATTCCGTTTTATAAAGTGCACATAAAATGTAAAATAAACGTTTGCCTTTAATTCGTGTGTTCATACGAAAGGGAGAGAAAATAACGCGAGGTTAATTATATGGTCCTTCGAGCCGGATGTCCAGTCTACTACGAATATTAAGAACAGAAGACATTAATTCTCCAACTTAAAAAATAGAAGAATGGACTGCTAAGGTTGAGATTCTATATCCCTTTAAATATCCTGTAGGTATATTTCAACCTCGGATGCAACCGGTCAAGTAGTTGGAGATTCTGGGGACATGAGCCACCGCCATCACCACCTGTCGATATTTTTTTCGTAATTTCCGGAGGATGTTTGGGATTTGGGGGCTTGGTGTCACTTGTTGATTGTTAAAGCTTGTTGGTGTTGGGATTATTGCATTTTGAGTTGTATTCATAGAGTTTAGCTTTGTTTTTGGTGTTTGTGCGTAAGATTCAACCACTTTGGTGTCGGGTAAAGTAGTTTATGTAGTTTACTCTTATGTACTTATATGAATTGTGCCGTTTGTTAAATCAGATATTTTCCAACCACCATTGTGCTAATACGTAATTTACAACATGCGAGGTGTTAACTAATATCCATGTGCTTGTGGAAGTCTACAATATCTCAGGTTTAGACCACGTTTACTCAGTTACACGGTGCACGGGGGTGTACCTATGTCGAACCTCGACTTCCGTGAAGTAGGGCATGCAAGGCTAGGTGTATTTAGTTTAGGGTGACTCGTAACATTCGTGAATGTGTGTGCCTTGTTGTACACTGAGAAAAAGTTTGGTTACAGTAAACAAATTTTATTTTGAGTTAACAAATATTAAGTTCAAATGTCAACAAACAAATAAAATGTTTTTGTTACCAAATGGTTTGCTCAATTATGGTAAGTAAAGATAACTTAACACATAGAAATAGTATTTTTACCATAAGCAATAAATGATTGAAATTAATCCTACATATTTGTTTGAAGATAATGCTATTCTTTAACTGTTAACATATAATTGTTATACCCTAAGCTTCAAACTGTTTGATAGTAATGTGGTATAATAACTATAAATTTGATATTTACTAGCTATTAAAGAAGGCAAAATTCGAGGCAAAATTGGTATTAAATTTTGTTTAATAATGATAATGGAATATGTTGATAATATAGATCTAATGGTATTTTATTATTAAGAAACGTTTTGTACTAATTCCGGTATAAATGATACTTACCACAATTTCTTTACTAATCACAAAGTGATTTAAGAATTATGCACTTGATGGGCACAAAATATTTATTAACTTTCAACTTTGATAGGATTAAACGGGATGTAAATTAAATAATATTAACAACAAAAAATCCAAATCAATAACTGTTTATTTTTTAAAAAATCCTGTAGATAATCTTAAATGTGCTAAAAATACGTAACTGCGTTAATACACTATTTAACTACTTGTTAATTTTACTAATAATAAAAAGAAAAATAATCATTTATTCTACTTTAAACATATTTAACACATATTGCCCACCAGCAACCAAATGTATGTTGAACGTGTTCAATATATACCTAACCACACCTATCAGGATGTATAGTATTACAGTAATAACTAATAACATTACAAAATAAAAACACACCTTTATCTTCTGTAGAAACATACTTTACAATCCCAACTATACAGGTAATTCACCGACATCCTCTGGGTCTAGAAGTATCAACGCGCAACCAATTGTGAAATTCACTCCATTAAATTTAAACGACTCAACTTCGAAAAGGGATGCTCAATTCGGTACGCGATCTTTTAATAAAATTCTATGGGTTTCGTCCATTGTGTTTTTTTACAAATTCTAAAAATAAAATGCGGATGTAATTTTCAATGAACTCGTAGGTATACCAAGACAACATTCATTACCAAAATCAAAATTTAGTTCCCAAGTAAAACAACCAAAAACTTCAAATTTTTTTTGGCAAACCAAAAAGTAAAAAATTAAAACAATATAGCAAACGAGCTCCTAGTATGGCTATAGCTTGGCATTATTATATGGCTAAACTAAAGCTATGCTCATTTTGTGTTTTCTGGTAGGAATGATGGCATAGGTAGGTACCATCATTATTAATTATTATTAATCAATTAATGCAAAAGAGGACTACTACACTACTTTAGAAACTAATATGGCTAATATGGGTACTCACTTACCTACAAACACTTCGGAAAATTGCGCTAAACCCGCGCGCCGCCTCAATAATTTTGGCTAGATTCCATATTAGTCCATATTTCCAACGTAAAATTGAAACACCACAGATGTGATTTGTTGGATTTCGGGAAACAAATTAAAATCACATTCACAATGCACTTTACTGTTTTATAATATCACCCCTGTAGCCGCAGCCGCACTTATTAATGACTAATTCAATGAGGTAACTACGCAGTATGCTTGAAATCAATTAAGATGAAAAATAAGACAAGATGTCAACATCTCAACTTTGCTGTATGCAGTACCTACTTTATAAGTGTAAAGTAATAAGTTCAGCATTCTTTATTGTTAGAAAGTATCATGTCATTTTAGACTTGTAAGCGGTAATCCTAAAGGTGATTTGTTTAATACTATGCCAGTATATTAATATCTAAAATACAGACAGATACTATATGATTTTCTATATATTAAAGAATTTCTATCTTATTGTTTAATAAACGATCTTAAAAGTTAAAAACGGTAGGTAACGATAAATAAATGCGGCCCAAACAAATTGATTTGTTAAATTTAAACAATACCTTTCGCTCAGTGTATGTAACTAATATCTTTCTACCGTGAGAGGGAGCTCGGACGCTAGAATAGAAAGGTGTTCTAGAGCTAAGGCATAAAAGGATCCGAGGGCCCTCGAAACTCCAACTTTAGGGATGAAGTGCTGTAACAAAGGCCATCCTGCCCATGGGCGGCGACCCATCTCTTAACCACCCTCAGTTTTGTGTCGTTATGAGACCGATGTCCGGGGAGTGTTACGAAGCACAGGTAGTACTTGCGGAAGTCTGGGGTTTATACCAATGTCATTATGTGGAAACTGAGTATAATTGGGGGCCCCACGAGCACATTGTGTATTGTCATAGCTGCCTATTGTTACGTCACGTCATGAATAATAGATCAGACATGTTTTTACAAACTTCACACCACCCTATTCGATATACAATTATACGAATAACTAGTAAGGTGACTTATATCAATAAATGCGTGAATGTGTTGCCCCTAACAATCGTAACTGAGCTACGGGCTGATAGGCAAATATGCCGGCCCAATTTCTAACAATATAACCGTGAAACAGGAGGGCTATCAAGCTAAGACGCTGGCCCTAACCTAACAAGTAACCAGGTTCACCATCCAATGACTAACTAAAAAGTGAGTTACCTTCTAGCCGTGA